ATGGATATCCCCACACCCGTCCTTGTCAGAAGGGGACACGAGGCCCCAGAGGCCTAGCCCCGAGGGGAAGAGTTTCGACTCCAGAGAGACAGTGCCCACTATCCATCCCTGCGACCCGGGGGCCACGGAAGGAACCGGGCGGGCGGGACCAGGGCGCTTAATAGGGGGCATAGGGGAATAAAAGAGTACAGGGTCCTGGAGCAAAAAAAAGAAGGTATACACCCGAAAACCAAAACAAAAAGAAAAAACATACCAAAACCCCCAACCCCAAACCCCCTCCCAAGCAATAAGAACCATGACCCCAGTATCCCTAAGAGGAAAAGTCTCCCGTATCAACCCTCAGGTGGCGGACGGCCGCCACATCAAAGAAAGTCAGGCGTAACATGCCATCCAGAAAAACCCAAGCCCAAGCCCCCCACCCCACAAACAACAAAAATGCCCAGCCGCATAAGGGGAGAAAAAATAGGGGCATGGAGGCAGAAGGTGTTATACGATACCGCCGACGATCAGCGCTGGCTCCTAGATCCCCCTCCGCCATCTTGGCTTCCTGCCCTGCCGTGACGATGCGCTGTAAGGAGGTCCAGAACGGAACCCCCGGGCTCCGTGGCCCTCTTAGCTTGCTTCTTGGGGGGTCTCCGTTCCATAATAGGGTATCAGGGAAGAAGGGTTCGCCCAAATAGAGGTCTCTAATTGTAGCTTATGGTGCCGGTGGAGCGGAGCTCTAGCAAAGCTCGACCGGACTCATCGGCTGTCATGCCATGCCCCTTGTTTTGTTTTTTTAAAAGAGAGATACACAGTGATTGCTTGTGTATGAGTTACTGCCTAAATGTTTAGCAGAAAGAGACCCCTGTATCCCAGCTGGGAGTGAGTGAACGTTTGTGTGTGTGTGTGTGTGCCTACTAGTGAGTGAGCTTGTGTGTGTTTGTCTGCTAGTGAGTGAACTTGTATGTGTGTGTGTCAGTGGGCTTGTCTGTTGGAAGCAAGTGTCTGTGTCAGTGGGCTTGTCTGTTGGAAGCAAGTGTGTGTGTCAGTGGGCTTGTCTGTTGGAAGCATGTGTGTGTCAGTGAGCGTTTCTGTAGTGAGCATGTGTGTGTGAGCTTTTTTTTAGTGAGTATGTGAGTGTTAGCTTGTCTGTAATGAAGATGTGTGTCAGTATGCTTGTCTGTAGTGAGCATGTGAATGTCAGTGAGCGTGTGTGTGTGTGACCGTGATCTTGTCTGTAGTAAGCCTCTGCATGTCAGACTTTGTCTGTACTAAATTTGTGTGTGTACCATTAAGCTTGTCTGTGTGTGTCAGTGAGATTGTCTGTCAGTGAGCTTGTGTTTTTATGTTAATGAGTGTATGTATATCAATGAGATTGTCTGTCTGTCTGTCTGTCTGTGAGACTGTGAATCAAAGAGCTTGTGACAGTGAGATTGTCTGTGTCTGCATGTGGGTATGCTTACTGTACAGTATAGTTAAATGTTTTACTCTAAAAGGACCAATATTTTGAAATAATATATATAGCACAATGACTTATGGGGCTGGTATAGATTTTATTTGCCAGGGCTGCTTTGTACCCCCAGTCCGGCCCTGGTCTGGGGCAAGAGACCAGGGCCGGACACAGTCCGAAGCACAGAAATTCTGGTCTTATCAGGCCCCTCCAGAAGCCAGTGGCGAAGGGTAGTTCATCACAAGAAGTTCAAAATTTTCTTCAGCTTCCTTAGACCATATCGTACAGCTAGCCCCCTTGCGCGTCATATTGGTGATGGGGGCTATCACAGAAGAGAACCCTTTGATAAATCTCCTGTAATCATTAGCAAACCCAATAACCCTTTGGATGGCTTTTAGTCCATTGAGCAATGGCCAATTTAGAACAGCCTCTAGTTTATGAGGATCCATTTGAAAACCAGCGGCAGAAATGTTATACCCCAAAAACTGTACCTCAGTCTGGTCAAAGATGCATTTTTCCAGTTTGCACTAAAGTTTATTTTTTTTATTTATTTTTTTATTTGACAATTTTTATTTTTTGTGTAACAGCAATAGGGGTACAGAAGAGAAGTAAGGGAAGGGTGTCATAAAAACATTTTGCGTGTCCTTGTTCGCAGCTTCCGCACACAGCGTTATGTAATGACACATTTACATTTTCATATATTTTCCCCATCTGTGTATGGGTGAGAGATTGTTTTGTTTTTGTTTTTGTAGGCAATCGAGTATCGTCACCCTATGGGGATTTGGGGGAGAAGGGCGATTAATTGGAAGGTGGGGAGAGTAGGAGGGAGATAAGGGAAGGTGGGATGGGGAAGTCCAGTTGGCTGCACCTCTCTAACCTAATTCAGGGTTACGGGGGGGTCATATTTTGCCCGTTTGATACTCATTTGGAATTTTCCCTTTTCAGTTGCTGCCAGCTCCTTTGTCATGACCAGGTATAATATGTATGGATGGGGTGAGCTGCTTCTTTCTAGTGCTTATATCTGTCTGTCGTTATTGCTTTAACCAACATAATATTAATATTGCAATGTTCATATCTCTTGTTTAATTATATTCTATACATTTCTCTTATGTTAGGAACACAGCTGTCGGTTCGTAAATGTCCGCCTGCACGGTTTCTAAGTGGGTGTTTTGGTGTTCTGTAGGTGGCTACTCCAGTTGTCCCATGCCTCTATCCAATTTGTTTTCGGTGAGTTTATACGTCTGGCCGCCAGCTCATATTGTTTGGTGGTTTCTATTGTTTGTATACACTGCTGGAGCTTTGGTGGAGAGGCCGATCGCCAGTGTCTGCTAATCACTGTTAACGCTGCCATAATGATGTGGTATATTAAGTATTTTTGTGGTTTCTTTAGGTTTTTGGGGAATAGCTGGAGGAGGAAAATTTCTGGTTTGCGTTCTAGTCTTATTTGTGTGCTTAGGTATATGAGTTTATTATGTCGTCCCAGAAGGTGGTGAGATCAGGACACGTCCACCAGATGTGGAGCATTGTTCCCTAGTGTTGTTGGCATCACCAGCATGTGTTTGTGGCCTGTGGGTGTGCTGCTTGAATCCGCGTGGGGACCAAATACCACCTATAATAAGATTTTATGGTAGAGCTCCATTTGGGAGGTGCATTTTGAGGGAGAGCTTTGTGCTTGCAGTATGTCTTTCCATTGTTGCGGACTTAGGGTGTATGTGAACTCTTTCTCCCAGGCAATGATGAATGGGAATGGTGCATGGGTTTTAGAGGTCTGTAACATTTGGTAAATTGTAGAGAGTAGTTTTTTAGGGGGAGAGAGGCGTGCACAGATATTTTCTACCACCGTCAGCTGTTGTCCCTGTACATCATCTTTGTAGGTAATGGTTTGTTTTTTTTAAGCCATGACTGGATTTGCCTATATGAGAATAGAGCTGTGGGGTTGAGGTGGAACGCTGTTGTTAGTTCTTCAAATTTTTTGAGCTCTTGGCCCTGTAGCATTTGGTGTAGGAATTCGATGCCATGTCGTTGCCAAATGGCATGGTTGAAATTTGTTATTATATGGTGGAGAGCTTTTATTGGGGGAGAGTTTACATTTCCATTTCATTTTGTGGCAGTACTGGTCCCATATGTGTAGGGTGAGTGTTGTTGTTGGGAGCATAATTTTTTGCGGGGGTCTGTGTGGGCGTGGGAGCCAGGCTAAGACAGAGATTGGTATCCCATTGGCATGGTGTGCCTCTATGTCCGACCATTGGGTTGCTTGGTCTTTGTTGCTTTCTGCTAGGAGTGGGCTGGGGATTGCTGCTTGTTGTGTATGTTTGGTACCCCCATCTCTCCCTGTGTTCGTGGCAGATATAGGATATTTTTGGATATATCCCATATGAACGACATTATGACTTTTTGCGCTTCTTGAAGGAAGTGGCTTGGTAATTTTATGGGGAGTGTTCTAAAGAGGTATTGTAGCTTCGGTAAGATTATAATTTTTATAGCAGCCATTCTTCCCGACCATGAAATGTATTTACCTCTCCACCCTGTTAGTATATTTTTGGTTTCCCTTAGGGTTTTTTGGTAGTTTGTCTTGTATAGGTTTGATAGTGAGGGGGTAATGTTGATCCCTAGGAATTTGAGATGGTCTTTTCTCCAGTCATAATTAAAGGACTTTCGGAGATTGTCCAGTGTTGCTGTGGGGATGTTCATCCCCAGGGCTTGCGTTTTGGCGACGTTGAGCTTATAGTGGGAGCATTTGCTATAACATGCTAGGGTGTTATGGAAGTTTGGGAGTGAGATGTGAGGTTGTTCTAGGGTGAGGAGTATATCGTCCGCGAATAAGGTGATTTTGTATTCTCTGTTTTGTCTTTTTATGCCGTGGATGTTGGGGTTGTCCCTTATAAGTTGTGTAAGTGGTTCTAGTGACAGGATGTAGAGAATAGGTGAGAGTGGACATCCCTGCCTAGTACCGTTTGTGATGTCGAATTTTTTGGAGGCGAAGCACCCGTTGGTCACCCTAGCTGTCGGTACAGAGTATAATGCCTCCACTAGCCGCATGAATGTGTTGGGGAATCCGAATTTGTATAGGACTGCGCGGAAGAAGGGCCAGTGCAGCCTGTCAAAAGCTTTTTCAGCATCCAATGACAGCAGCAGACACTGGTCCCTCCTCTCGCGCCCCCCCCACCTCCTCCCCAAGTAAGTTTAGGATCTTACGCGTGCCATCCACACCCTGTCTGCCACCGACAAATCCTGTTGTGTTAGTCTGTTGGCGAAAATTTTTGCTAGTAATTTGATGTCAGTGTTCAAGGGTGAGATTGGCCTCAAATTTTAGCAGTTGTTTGGGGGTTTGCCTGGTTTTGGCAGGGTGGCTACGTGTGCTATCAGCATTTCCGGAAGGATCTCATTCGCTGTGATTGGGTTTTGTAGTTGTGATCGCTGTATGTCTGTCAGTGTTGGTAGTTTGGAAAGAGCGAGGAAACTCTCAATTTCTAGGTTGGTGGGTTGATGTAGTGTTGTATCATTCTTGAGGTTGTATAATGTGTGGTAGTATGTTGCCATGTTGTCTTTTATGTCCTGTGGGTTGTGTATTTTTTCGCCTCCTTGTGTGAGTAAGTACGGGATCTTGGCGTTAGATTGTTTTTGCCTGAGTTGTGTTGCTAAATATTTCCCTGCTTTGTTCCCTTGCGTATACGTTGTTTGTTTGAGTTTTTGTAGGATATGTGCGGTCTTAGCTAGCTCTAGATTATTTAGGCGTGCCGTAGTGTCTGTGATTGTTTGCGTTCTCTGTGGGGTGGGTTGTACGGCGTTCGCTTTGGTTGTGTCTCTCAGTGTGCGTAATAATGTTCGGTGTTCTTCTTTAGATTTTTTATTTAGATATGATGCCTGGCTGATCATGTGGCCTCGCATGACCGCTTTGTGGGCCTGCCACACTGTGGTTGGTTGTACGTCTGGTGTACTGTTTGTCGTAAAGTAGTCGCTGAGTGTTTTTGTAATTTTTTGGGTAAAAGTGTTATTTTGCAATAGGGAGTCATTTAGGCGCCATGGTGTTTTGCCTCTGTGTTGGAAGTTTCCTTTTAGTTCTATCGTTGTCGGGGCATGGTCTGACCATGTTATGTCTCCTATATCGCTTTTTGATATTTGTGATACTAGTGGGCCCGATATGAGTATAAAGTCTATCCTCGAATATGATTTGGGGACTGCCGAGTAAAATGAGAACTGTTTGTCTCCTATTAATTTGTTTAAAGCTTTACATTGTGATTTTATCACTCTGTGTCTAGGTGCTACGGGATTTAATGTGGTATCCAAAAATGGGTCCAGCGGGTGATTTAGGTCCCCACAGAGTACAACTGATGTTGTGTGTGTGGTGGGAGTTGTGGATAGTGCTCTGTGGAGAAAGTTTCTTTGGTTTGTGTTTGGACTATAGAAGCTAACTATGGTAAAATTTGACTCATTTATTAAACATTGAAGCATCACGTATCTTCCCTGGTTGTCTTTTTTAATTTTGAGGAGTGCGTTGCGTGGTATTGGTGGGGGTAATCTCGTATGCCAAAATTCGGTACTCTAGCAGTTACGAAGTGTGTCTCTTGTAGAAACACGATGTCTGCTTTAATTTGTTTGGCTTCTGCTAGGACCAAGCACCTTTTGTGTGGGGTGTTTAGTCATCTAGCGTTATGTGAGTATATTTTCATATTATGGGTTTGTGGTAGAGAGAGCTCGTTTGTGAATTCTCTGTGTCTATGTTTTTTTGGCGTGATGGCCCTGGTGGCCTTGTTTGTGCTTGGTGATGGGCAGGGAGGTGTGACTTTCCGGACTTAGAGGGAGGGGGGAGGTAAAGAACCAACTTATGTACAAGATGACCCAAAGCGGGGTCTTGGCACTATGGTATTGTGCCATGGGGGGTAAGCGTCAAGCGACGACTCTGGTTTTGTGGCTGTCGGGCTCTCATGCTTATTGCGTTCGGGGTTCTTTTATGCGCTGGGGTGGCAGCCCCGGCAGGGTGTTGCGTCTTTGGTCGATTTTAGGGGTGGGATATGTTATCCTCAATCATCAGGCCTGTGTGGGTCTTATGTTATCCTCCCTTGGTCTGCTGTTTGTCATAACAGTTCTTAAGGGGGTATTTCTACATAAAAGAAGTTATTTAGCTGGCAGTTGAATGGGATCAGATGAGCAAAATCAAGACCTCCAACATGACCATGATGTGGTAGGATGTGGTAGGGTAGCCAATATACTATAGGGACTATTACATAAGGGGCTATGAGCCTCCCACTAATTCTGATTACGTGTGTTTTTTTTTTTTTTTTTCTAGTCCGTCCCCTGCTGGCTTGCAAACATACCCTGCCTTGTCGGCGCTGCCTCCCCTGCCTTTGCCTTTCCATAGGTGTTTGCAAAACCGTCCTTAGTTATCTGCCATGATTTTCACTGATGGTTAGTCTTCGTGTGGTGTTGCTCGGTTTCTGCTGGCGCGGAGCACTGCTTCTTTGATGTGGAAGTAATGCGCTCTCATTAAGACGTCTCTTGGAGTTGCATCAGGTAGGTTCTTCGGTTTTGGGACTCTGTGAACTCTATCTACTAGCATCATGTCTGCTGGTATTTCAGGTACATATGCTCTCATCAGGCCTCTGACATATGCCTGTAGGTCGCAGGGGAGGTCCGTTTCAGGAACCCCTCTTAATCTGAGGTTATTTCTCCATGATCTGTCCTCTGCATCCGCCATGCGCGTCTCTATTAGTGTCACCTTTTGTTCTAAGGCTGCTACTTGGTCGGCTATGTCATTGTGTGCTCTGGCATATTCACTTTGTTTTCAACGTGTGCCGTTCTGTTGCCGATATCCAGCACCTCTTTCCTGAGTTGTTCAATAGATGTCTGCCAGGTTTTCACTAATTTGTCTGACATTGCTTCTAGGGCTTCAGTTAGGTGTGCTTTGGTGAGTTCCCCTGATGCCCCATGAGAGGTTTCGTCCGTGTGGAGCGTTCCCGCGTCCTGTTTATCGGCGCCATCTTGGATTTGGGCCCGGTCTGCTTCGGAGCCTGTTGCCGATTTTTGGCTGAAAAAAATATTTTTTTCAGCTTTTTGGGTAGATTTCTTGCTTTTGGGGTGAGACATGGTGCAGATTGCTGTTTTTGTGGTGTTCCGATAGTGGATGGCTATGGATATTGAGAGCCCGGGTGCCAGAGCAGTTTCCTATGCTTCCAGGCTGCTCGGCGGTTGGCCACACCCCTCAAAGTTTATTTTTTTAAGTAAAGTTTGCAACACTTGTTTGAGATGTTTGTGGTGCATCTGAAGGTCAGGGGAATTAATAAGTATATCATCCAGGTATACTAGGACAAATGAATAAATATAGTCCCTGAATACATCATTAATAAAGTCCTGGAACACGGCTGGAGCATTGCATAACACGAAGGGCATGACCAGGTACTCATAATGCCCACTTCTAGTGATAAATGCCGTTTTACATTCATGATTTTCATTAATCCTAATGCACTCCTGAGGTCAAGTTTAGTAAAGACTTTAGCACCCTGGAGTCTGTCAAACAATTTGGAGATGAGTGGAATGGGATAGGCATTTTAAATGGTGATTTTGTTTAATGCCCTGTAGTCAATGCATGGTGGTAATTCTTCATTTTTTTAAATTTATTTTTTTAGATACAAAAAAGAACCCTGCACCAGCAGGAGAGGATGATATACGTATGTGGCCCTTACTTAGGGAATCTTTGAAGTACTCATCCATTATTCTACTCTCCTGTGGAGATAAGGCATGTCTTGGGTGGCATAGCGCTAGGTAACAGATTTATGGAGCAGTCATAAGAGCTGTGAGGAGGTAGAATATCGGTCTTGGCTCTTACTGAATACCTCCCTAACCTCCCAGTATTGTATGGGAACTTCGGAGGCCTGAGGCGTAGTAGTGGTAATGAGTAACATACATAACATACATACATACATCTCACAGCACAGTCCTTACCCCATTCCAGTTTTCCCCCCTTTGCCCAGTAAATATGAAGATTGTGCTTAATGAGCCAAGGAAATCCCAATATGATGGGACAAGAAGGAGAAGCAATTATCTGGAATGTTATGTCTTCCTTGTTTAAAGCTCCAATGGAAATATTAATGGGCAAGGTTTGGGCAAAGTTTTGTGAGTAATCAAGGGTTGAGAGGTCTCCCGTCAATAGCCTCAACAGCCAGAGGTGGTGATCTCTCCTTGATAGATATTAACTGTTTTTTTAACAAAATTTATATCAATGAAGTTTCCTGCCACGCCTGAGTCCATCAGGGCTTTACATGAAAAGTTCTTTATGATACAATTGGCCATAATATTAAGGAGGAATCTATTTTTGTTATTGCCATAGGACGTATCCATCACACCTGTCTGTGGCTAAACTAGTCACTTATTGTATGCAAGACTGTGTTGGTCTGACTATTTGGGTTTCCCAAACAGAATACAGATATATTGTTCGTTAGTCGAACCAACCACCAAACTGGGAGACCACCCAAGGGCCTCCAATTGACTACATTCACACCAGAAAACCACAAGATTCTAAATGGTTGGATGGGTGGCTGCCTTTACACGTGGCGGCGGCCATCTTTGCTCACAAACATACAGCGGTGTTTGGTCGTCGAGTGTGTGTAACTATAATCAGACACTCGACTGTGCGAACACCGCTGGACTTCCATCCTGTCTTAATTTCCTTTCGCCTAAGGAGAGCAGCAATCGACTGAATGGAACGAATGAGCACAAGGCACACGACCACCTATTTCATGAACAGTTACATTAGTTAGTTTAACAGTTAAAACTCCCAAAAGAAGACCGGTCAAAGCATACAACCACATGGAACTGTTTTGGGACTTCACCTCATGGTTGAGCAGTCTAAATTCCACTCGACTGGCGTTCCTATTCTACCGAACGGATCTGAGCAGTATTTCGACAGATTTGGCGATCAGATCCCTGCTATTCTAACTAATATTATAGGAGTTATGATGGTTTAAAATATTGTTCAATTTTCTGTACTTGGGAGATATTCTAATTAAAGAATTGTCCTTACGCAATTATTTTCCAAGTACAGAAAAGGAATCTGGGAAATGTGTCTTTGTTCCATGTCCCCACCAAGGTCCACCAGGGGAAAACCGATGGAATGTAATTAAAGAAACCCCTTGAATGGGGAATTGTATAAAAGCCAGCTGTAGCTCAATAAAAAACAGTTAACTCCCAAAGTGTATCGTCCAGTTATTGGGGAATTTGGATGGGATTGACAAACTACGCTTTTCTTGGATATTATTTGTCTACCAGCGGAGATATTGATGTAAATACTGCAGCTCTGCTACAATTGGTGGCAAGCGACGGGATACAAGCCTCGCAACAAAGCAACGCTCGTGTGTTTTGTTTATACTAATAGAAAAGTGAAACAGTGGTTCGTGTATGTTTTGGCTACACGAATGAACAGATAAATGGAGACAAATTATGCCGCGCTAAAACAACCACGTTAAAGGAACTATTAGAAGCAAGGGGTAAGATAGCCAGTAACAAGGCGAAAGTTACCCTTATTGCTGAATTAATGGAGGGAGACTGAGCCGGCAGTGCTATACCTCCACCAAATATGGAGGAAAACTAGTTTGCAAAGAAACTAAAAACAAGGCTGGCATTTTACCGGGAAACCCCTTCAGAGGAAACGGTAACCAAACTGATGACAGATGTCCAGGATTATATATTAGCCTGACGACCAGTAGCTGACAAGCGATCCAGAGAGGGGTCACCAACAACATCGACCCTCACCCAAGGGAAAATCAAAAGTGCAGTTTTTGTGTGAAAAATGCAACAAACAAATATGATCACTAACTTTGACTAGGGTTTGTGACAAAGCGGCTACTAAAAAAGAATGTACATATCCCATTTTGAATACCCTGGTTTGTCTACTTTTGCAAATGCTATGCCATTATGGGGGTAATTTTCATTCCTGAGCTGTTATAATGGCAACATAGGCCCAGCAAACCAATTTGGCAAATTTAAATGTGTAAAAACTGAAATGGGCAAGACCTATATTTGAAGATGAAATATAAAAAATGTAAAGTAAATGTAAAGATGTATATTTTACATTGTGACTTTCCAAAATATCAAGAAAATCTGTACATGGGAGGCATCGTTGTACTTGTGGGGCATCACAACATACAAATATGTATATTTTATTGCAGTAAGAGCTAACAGAATTGTAATATTCACAGTTAAAATGCCACGCAGAACTTGGAAAACAACAACATGTCTTAATTTCCCACACTTATTTAGATATTAAATTGTTTTCCATATATAAATATTTGATGGGAAATAAAAGCCCTATTTCTCCTGAACAAAATGATATCTGATAAGTGTGGGTGCACTTACTAGTAAAGAGGTACTTGGACGATTGCCTTCATCCTTAAGGGTTAAAAGGAATTATATGATAACTATATCAGTCTCAGTAAATAAATAACAAATTGACAGGAACATGACAGTCAAATGGTTACATACCTCTGTCAGAGTTATTTCTCAGTTATTCTAAGTGCACTATATAATCATGCTTTGTTGATTTGTTTAATATATTATCAAGAAAAAAAAAATGTTTACAGTGTAAACCCAAATTATGTTAAACTCCAATGATGTAAAATAGAATAGAAATCTTTTTATCCTATTTTAAAGATTATCAACCTTAAAAGAATGATCAGGACAGTAAAACATTGCTCTGAAAGTAGCACATTCCCTAGAACTGCTCTAGCATTGCCTTCATTACAGTAGCTTTCAGAGATTTAATGAGAATTTAACTTTAACACAGAAACACAGAAACTCCACATACTTTGCAGAGGTCATCTTCAAAACCTTCGGGGTCCCTAAAGGGGCCGACCAGCTCTCTTCCCATAATTGCTGCCCAAAACATGACTCCACCACCGCCTTGCTGACGTCACAGCCTTGTTGGAACAGGGTGGCCGTCCACCAACCATCCACTACTCCATCCATCTGGACCATCCATGGTTGCACAGCACTCATCAGTGAACAGGACTGTTTGAAAATTAGTCTTCGTGTATTTTATTGCTCAAAGCAGTCGTTTCTGCTTGTGAGCATTGAATAGTGGTGGCCGAATACAAGGTTTATGCACAGTTGCAAGACTCTGGAGGACTCTACACCTTGATGTCCGTGGGACTCCAGAGGCACCAGCAGCTTCAAATATCTGTTTGCTGCTATGTCATGGTATTTTAGCAGCTGCTCTCTTGGATGCATGGATCTGGCAGAAGTTTTTGTGAAATAGCTAATGTTTTTAATACCTTGTCCAAGGCATTGAACTATTTCACTCTTTTCGGTAGCAGAGAGATCCTTTTTCTTCCCCATATTGCATGAAAATGGTGCTCTGCTTAATAATGTGGAACACCTTCCTTTAGTAGTTTTTCCTTAAATTGGGCTCACCTGGCAATCCAATTATCACAGGTGTCCGAGATTGTTTTCAGTGATCAAAAGAGCCCTCCATAAGTTAAACTGAAAAACAAAATATTTCATCTTTGTGACACTTAAATAGAATTTGCATAATAATTTGGAACAAGGTGTAGTAGTTAAAGGGACACTATAGTCCCCAGAACCACTACTACTTCCTGAATGGCAGCCACCCCCGAGAACAAAGGACTACTGCACAGCTTGTCAATTACCCATTCGCAACAATGTTGCAACGGGTAATTGAAGGCACACTTCACACCGGGGAGGTCTGACTGTTCGGTAGTTTCATTCCCTTATTTGTTAGAATGATTCTACTGAACAATCAGACAAATGCAATACATTTATACACATATACAAAGATAGATAACAGTGACCCAATGTGTGCTACGTGCAACTGTGTAAGAGACTCTGACACCCTGGTGAGGTTCCCTTAACCTTCACCAACGAAGAGATATAAACACCACACAATATAAGGCGGAGTATCTTACATGCACTTTTCAAATAGTCCTTTGCATAGGTACATTTCTTATGGTATACTCTAGAGAAAATA